TTAATCGCTCTACACTTCAATTTGAAAGGCTCTGTTTCACAATTAGAACCTTATCTCTTACCCTCTTGTGTGTGTGTGTGTGTGTATGCACTCTTAGAGGGGCACAGTTATTCTTACACTACTGACTGACCAATTCGGGGCATATTTTTAAAAGGCTCCCTATCTTTAACAGCATGAAGACCCTGCTTTGGAGCCACTGTTCAAGTCAATGGTATGACCCAACATGCAATGCTCTAACTGTTCCTCTACAGCCAACACCTGCCTGACAGCTTCTTCAAAGGCCACTGTCACATTAGTGTCATCTTTGGCACTAGTTTCTAGATAAGGGTAATCCCCATTATCCATGCACCAGGCTTGTGCCTCCTCAGTAGTCACTTGCCTATCCTCTTTGTCTACCTTGTTACCCAGAACTACAAAGGGGAAATGCTCAGGGTCCTTCACATCCGCATAGTAAATAAATTCTTTCTGCCAGTTACCAAGATTCTCGAAGCTCTGCCGATCATCCACGCTGAAGGTCAAGAGGCAGCAGTCTGCTCCCCTGTAGAAGGGTGTCCTAAGGCTCTTGAAACGTTCCTGCCCCGCAGTGTCCCAGATCTGGAGGGTTACAAAGCGTCCATCTACCTCCAGATCTCGATTTAAGAACTCTACCCCTATGGTGTGAAAAGCCTGGGAGTCAAATTTGTTGGTTACATAACGGTTCATAAGCGAACTTTTCCCAACTCCACCATCACCCAAGAGAATGACCTTTAAGAGCAGGGATTTCCCACTCATTTTTGCGGCACCAGAAGGGAAGGAGTTTGTAACCAAGAGAACCTGAAAATAAAAGGAAAAGTAGGAGGGAAAACAGTTAAACCTGAAATTGAAATCAACTTCATAGCAAATTTCTCTGAATTATGAGGACCTCTCATTCAACTTCTCTTGATTTATGGTCGTTAATTGATGTAATAAAGCAGAAGAGATAAAACCCATTTTGCATAAAGGGAAAAATAGGTCTTGTTTTTCTGAGGTCTTTTGTCATGCCAGAAAAATGGCTGAGTGCCATTGGTAAATGGACTAGCAGACGGTCCTGTAATTTGGTTCAGTTCTGACCCTATTCTAGGAGAGGAAGCCTAGAACAGGAATGCCACTCAAATGTGTGACGACTTTAGCTTCCGGTTTGGACAGTTCCAAACGATAGGCAAATAGTATGAAATTGATTTGGGGTTTGAAGTCTGCTCCTGATGGATACAAGAATTACTGAGAAGAGAAAGCTACATAAACTGGATTCTTGATTCTGTCCATAGAGGTCTGGGACAGAATCAGACAGGACCCCAGAATTTGAAAAAGGGAACAAAGTTACATTTCTTTAGGCATTTACCCCATTATACTTGCATTGATAGGAACACCCCCTCAAGTAAGGATCTTCTATATTTTTTTCTTCATGGAACAATGGCATTTAAGTTGATGACAACTGACCGATACCAATATAACAGCTGTTGTTAAGGAGAAAATCTTGAATAGCTTATTAGTTTTTGGATTTAGGTTTTAATTTCATAATAGCAACATTTGAAAACATACTGTAAAATTTAAAGTACTAATATTTATACAATACCTTACTTGTTACCTCCACAACATGTCTACACATGGAATACCTAGAATGTGTTTTAAAATAAAAAGATCAAATGCTTACTGAACAAATACTAGCTTTTGCTATATTCTGTTAGGTACTCTCACACTAGGTCTATTGTGAAAACTCAATAATGATAAGGTTAATTGGATGATATTTATACAATAGACCCAAAGGGAGGAAAACCAATTATCAATCAAAGGAATGCATGCAAAATAGTTTCTGGAAGCACACATATTTGAATATAATTTTACAAAATTTAGTAGCCCTTAAAATGATTTTGAAATGCATGTGTACTAGCTATATATTTTTCTAAATATTCACTTTTAAATGATCAAATATTAAAACATCCCAAATCCACAGTATGCCCCCTTGAAATACCTACCCAGTGGGTTTGTTTTGTCACAATTTAAATATTTTCCTTTTTTCCTGTTGTTGTTTTATTCTTTCTTTTTAGGGTTCTATAAAGTAGAATAGAAAACATTATTTTAAAAAATCTATAATAAAATAACATTAACGCTATAATTAAAAATACATTCAAGTCAGAAAAAAAAAAAGAACCCATAGCAACCTCAGGTAACCTATAGACGATGCTTTTCACAAATAAAAGTTTAAAATCCTACCAATGCTTAACATAAGCAAAACATTTTTATTCCAAAAACTTTATCTTGCCCTAATTTGTACTTTGTATAATTTTTAAGTTTTATATTGTCTCTTCATTGAATTCTCCATTCAAAGTAAAAGCAAGTCAAAGAAAGTAGATGATATTCACAATAGATGACATTCAGGAAAAGGAAAGTACTGAGCAATCTAAGATATGTTGAAATCCTAAGTCAGAGATGAAACTTTTTCCCTTTATACCTACCAACATTCCCATCTCCAAGAAAGTTGTTAATGCACTCACCAGTCTGTCTTGAGGTTTTCTCTGTATCTGATTCCACATAATCAGAGAGCAGGAAAAAATTGTGTGTGTGGGCTTCCTGTTTACAATAATGTATATTCTCTTGGCTAATTATTTTATTCATTAGTTTAGGTCATCTCTCTTCTATATTTTTAAAAATTCGAGACAGGGTCTCATTCTGTCACCCAGGCTGGAGTGCAGTGTTGCAATCATGGCTCACTGCAGCCACCACCTCCTGTGCTCAAGTGAACCTCCTACCTCGGCCTTCTGAGTACCTGGGACTACAGGTGCATGCCACCATGCCCGGCTAATTTTTGTATGTTTTGTAGTGATGGGGCTTCACCATGTTGCCCAGGTTGGTCTCAAGCTCCTGGGCTCAAATAGTCTGCCCACCTCATGTTCCCACAGTGCTGGGGTAATAGGCGTGAGCCATCGCACCTGGCAGGTCATTTGTCTTAAACACCAGTTTTAATATTTAGCTGGTGTTGTTAAATGTAAATATGCCTTCATTTAATATTATAATTAATTGTGGTAAGAGTCTTATTTAAGCAGCATCAAGAGTACTGGTCTAAGAAGAAAAACAGTTTCTAGATTTGTATACTTTTCTTTCTTACTGAGAAAGAAAGAAGCTTTAAAATATATCTGCTGCTTAATAATCTCATGTTATTTTCTACATATAGATAAAACTTATAATAAGAATTTACTAGATATCTAATTCAGTAATTATGAATTTAAATAATATCTCCTAAATGGATAGGCTTTATGCTCCTTCTTGGTTTATATATACTCTACAGAATTCTCAAGTTTCCTACAATTCCTGGTTTTTGTCCCCTTTGTTTCCTGCTCCCAAATTGCTGTCTTTAGAACTAGCTCAAGTAACAAACACCTCTTTAAATGGAGATGAAACAAGTGTTAGGACACTTCTTTATTTTTTTTTTATACCAGTCTGTAGGACAATGTTACAGAGCAGAACTCTTGAACTCTCATTTTAAAAAGCAACAGAGGTACAAACTTGGGCATGATTCTGATGGCTAGTATTAAGGGTCCATGCCAAATGAGCTTCCTTAAGTTCCTAGCAAACAGGTGTTCACATCATTAAAAGACTCACTGACCCTACTTTCCCAGTTGCAGATAAACTCAGTAGACAGGTCAAGGACTGAGTGAATATGGAAACCCAAATGCTCAGCTCCAGGAATAATGATGATGTATTAATAACTGTCTGAGATAATGCTGCAGTTGCTTGTGCATTTCCTATTTGGTTATGTGCACACATAACTTCTGGGCCTATAGCTTCTATGCCAAGGAAAAAAAAAACAGGAAAAGCAATGTGGTTCAGTGTCAAGAGCACTAAGCTAGCTGGCAGCAATCAGGATACCAGGGTCTTCATCAGTGTTACACCATTTGTTCATTTTATGAAGTTGGGCAGGTCATTTAATCTTTCTGTTTCAGTATCTTCTTACATAAAAATAGAGCAGATAATACCTACACTACTTAACAGGATTTGGGGGAGAATGAATAGATTCTGAAGTTTGCAAAGATTCACAAGCATTTTTTGAAAAATTTGGTTTGAGATTTTTATTCCTCTGGCTCCTCCACCTCCTTTCATGTACTAGTGGGGGCCTTGTGGCTCAGTATTAACCCTTCTCAGAAAGGGCTAAGTATAAGAATTCTTCCTTTTCTCTTTCTTCCATATTTGAGAATGCTTTGTTCTTCAGCAAGCTTGAACATCTGTATATGGCACAGAATCTCAGCATTGGAGGGACCTTCAGGGTCTTCTGGTCCAACCCTGCTACTGATATTTAAGAAAATGCTATAGCACCTATTGTGTGTTGTGTCCTTACTAAGGAGAGCCTACACTCTCCTCTGCTGTCTTCAACTCCCATTTTTTTTTTTTTTTTTGCTAAAAGTAAAAATGAATACAGTTTAGATTTGTCTCCTTACCTTCTGAATCCTGCTGATTTTCCCTAGAAATAACATTTTCTAGTCCTGTGCTGCCATCCTCATTTTGGCTCACATCTCCTCAAATCTAATCTATTGTGAAAGTTCTTCTTTCCCTGCCTCTGGTTTCTCCCCACCCAATCTACTTTGCAAAACTTCATCACTCAAACATCCACTGGGTGTAGATACTGTTGGAAATTAATAAATGTTTCAGGCAAGGCCTTGCCCTCAGAGAGTGTACAAATTAACATGCAAGCTTAGGATCTCATAGCTTACAGTTGAAATCATATAGTTATACTTCCTTATTTTGTTAACAAACTTTTCCTGTCTTTCTAATATGATCAATTTTAAATTCCTGGATAGTAAGCTAACTGTTTGTGTACATCTTGGAAGCCCCTTCAGTGTGCAGCACAGGATCCTCCATGGAGATAATAAATATTTGTTTACCAATTAACTGATTAGGTAGGTGCCCAGAATTAATGTTTCTGAATTGATACCAAGGTACAATAGATCCATAGTTCTGTAAGATGTCCAAGTACTATTATTTATAAGGTGACTAAAGAGCAGAAGTTATGAACTTGACTCGATCGTTTTCTGGTTGTGACATAATAGGAATTCTACCTGTTGAAAGTCAAGGGAAATGCTCGAGTTTTCCTTCCCCTACTCTCACATTTTAAAAATAAGTATATACATTTCCTCGTTCCTACCAAAAACAAGAGCAGAATAATTATCTCCACTTGATGTTGTCAGTGGGTGCTGGCATCTCTGCAATCATTCATCATTGTTTGAAAATGAATGTGATGTCCTTTAGTACATACTTAAATTAAAAAGAACCAGCACAGTAAAGCAAATGAAATCATTTTTTCCTCCCCCAGAATATGCTAGATTTAATCCAAACCTTTAAACAAAGTAGCATTAAGCAGGCAAATGAATTCTTTGATGACAATAAATATGTAAATAGGAAAGTCAAATGCCTTATGCATGCCTTATGGGTCTTTTATCAGGTGAGCATTTGGACCAAAACACTTATTCTGATTTTGATCCCATTCAGAGAAATATCTGGCTCTAAGTCAAATATGCGAGAGATGCAATTCCCCTTTCCTACCCCCACAAACTTATTAATCAGCATTTTCTAAGGATAGTTTATTCACTTTTTATCCCTATCAGGGTCTCAGTCTTGGACAGTGAGGTAAATTAGGAATTCACGTAACCAATACTCCCCAGCTCTTTGTTCTTTAACACACCTGAAACCTTCTGAATCTCCAGTGCTTGCACCCACACGGCCGCATTCAAATTATTACATTTAGTTGGAGATTCTTAGAGGTGAGGGTGGAGGTGGGGGAGGAAACAGTACAATGAAGAAAAAGAAGTTGAACCTTTGGAAATAGTACATTTTAGTATGATGATGGAGAGAAGAGAGGCAGAAAAGCAAATTGGCATCAGTTCGTTGCCATGGAGTGGAATGATGCTCAAAATCTGTAGTGCAGATTGCTAAGAGGCAAGTCTTGAGAGGGATGTGTACTTCAGGGCTGGGTAGGGGAAGCGCAACTGGGGAGGGCTAGGTAGTGGATGAAAGTGACATTGTTGGAAGTCTGTACAGGGGAGAAGCCATGATTGGACCTGCGGGGAAAGCCCATCTCGTGGCGACACAGTGGTAAGGGTTACTCAATTTACTGTTGAATGCTGGCACAATAATTGGAAATATTGCACTGAAGAATTGGGCGCGGCTATCTTTATGTAAGATTCAACACGAATGAGAAATGATTGAATGTTTGAGTCCCTGTAACTTAAATGGTGTAGGTTGTTTCCTGTACAACCCAATACTTGGCGTTGGTGGTGGTGGTGGGTGCTTCATAGAGGGGAAGCCCTCTGACGCACTGGATTCATTTTGCAGAACTAACAAGTTATTAGCTACATCCATGCCGACTCCAAATGCCACAGCTGTCATGCCACTGAAACGCTATTCCTACATTCATGCCCACATTTATATCCTATATGCAACTCGAAGGGTCCAATGTGGAGTCTCGCGACTAACCTTTCACTCTTCACAACGACAGCTCTAAGGCTATGAGCCCAAAGACACATTAGATAGCAATTTGGCAATGTCCCCAGGCCACTTTTCACCCAGTAGACTGCCCAGAGACATAGGTAGATAGGTTTGGATGACATCAAGCGAGCTGAACACAAGGAAAAGAAGCTGCCTTAGGAGACGACAATGCTGGCATCTCTATGACAGGGGCACTGTTAGCATTAGGGACCTAGAAAGTGAGGTGTCACGCACAGTCCCAACTACCTCCGACCCAGGTCCTCTCACCTCACCCCAGCTCTCAGAGCGAGCCGGCTGTGGCGCATGCGCACTGAGCCACACCCGCTCCCCACGGAGCCCTGCGCCTCTCTGCCAGGCTCTGGCACCCGCTCGGGATTACTCAGCAACGCCCCCCTCCACTGTCACCTGCCCCCAACTCCGACCTCAAGAGCGGCTCAGTACCTTTCCCAAGCTACGCGTGGCCCCGGGAATCAACTAGACTTTCCTTTCTCCCTCTTCTCACAGGCCCCCCACCTCCCGGCCTTCCGGGTCCTCCACCCCCTAGCCCCTGTTCCTGCCCACGCACAGCACCTTACCCAACACAATGGGAAGGAAACAGGAAAGGGCCGCGGATGCCAGGCAGGTCAGCTTTGCCTGCTGGGAGTCCGGCTCCTCAGCGACACCGTCACCGCTCCTGCTGCCTCCTCGTCCTCAATGGGGCAGCAAGTGCGGCTTGGACCTCGGTGGCCTGCCTGACAGCTGCCGCTCGCGCCCGCCGCTGCCGCCGCGCAGCGTCTCGCGCCCGCGCCCGCGCCCGCCAGGGGAGGGGGCGGGGCTCGCGCCGCCTCCTCGTGCCCCTTTCTTGGCTCTGGGGACCCAGTGTAGCCGCCTCCCGCCCTCCATGTGGCAAGCGCTCCCTGGCTCACCCACTCTTCTTTCATGCTTATCGTCCAACCCTGGACTCCCTTGTCCTCCTCCTCCTCCCCTAGCCGATTAGGGGCACCGCGGCAATGGACAGTCAAATATTGCTCTCCCACTTAGCTCCTCTGCAGCCTGGGGCCTAAGCCCTCAAGCAGGGCTAGCCACAGCCCCACATCCTGCAATTACCCTCTGATCTACCTCATTTATCCTAGCTCAAAATCTTTTAATTTTGCCACGACGGTAGTACATACAACCTCTTGTTTCAAATAACTCAGGAAAACACATTATCACAACACATTGCTAGGCTCTCTAGCTGGCTACTACTCATGAAATTCTCAGGCAGTCAAAAAAAAAAAAAAAAAAAAAAAAAAAAAAAAAAGGCCACATCTGTAGCACAGACATGGAGGACACACTGCCCTTTACCCTTACCAGGTACGATTCCAGAGGGCCACACAGGGGGGCATTACTTGAATTTCCCGGAATTGCTGCTGGGGCAGAATTTGATGTTCTCTTCTTGTTTTCTGCAGCCCTCTGGTACCTCCAACTAGTTTTTGATTTTTTTTTTCCCCCTGGAATTGAAGAAGCACAAAGCTCCTGAGGTCATTTAGCCTGCACTCCACCTCTCTGTCAGGCAGATCCATCTCTGAAGCTTCCCCATTGTCTGAAACCTGTGGCACAGGCCCTCACTCACCTCATGACCCCTCAAGGCCCTCACACATACCCACTACTTCCATCTAGGCCACTCTCCCTCTATTTCTTGACAAAGCAATCACGCAATCAATCTCTGCAGGCCCCAGCTTAAATGTAACTTCTCAGGATAATCTTTCTAGATAACCCCAGAACAGAGATGGTTGGTGCCCCAGTTTATACTCTTGTGGCCTCCTGTAACTTGCTGCATTTTTTCTTCATAACACTTATCCATTTTTGGTGGTATATTTAAACGTATGATTATTTGGTTGGCAGCTGTCTTCCCTACTAAACTATAGTGGAGAAGGACTATGAGGTCAAGGACAACGTTTACGTTCACTGTCATATGCCCAGAACCTAGTGCAACATTTGCTGCATAGGACATGCTCAGAAAATATTTGCTGAATATCAATGAATGCTGTATCATTAATAATTGTTATATTTAAATAAAATAAGTGGATGTAACTGAATCCCTTGTGCTCTTATTTAAACCAACACAATTTCCCACACATACACTCTAAAACACACTTCTGATGAAGAAGGGATTCATACAATCCTATAAATCAATTTTTTATCATCCATTTTAATCTATTAAAAAACTATTGAGCATGGGCCCCAATATATGTATATGGATTTATAGGTTATATACATGTACTACTGTACATGTATATATTACACATTACTTTATACATTTTAATGAGTAAACATTAAAAATACTCCAGCACAGACATTTTAAAAGAATGAGAAAAATAAATATATTGATGTTTCAATGTTTTCTTTCTGCACTCCAATAGTTTTGTGAATGCTTTAAATAAGTCCTTCATATCAGAGTATCTCGTCTTTAGGTGTAACAATCTAGACTACTTTTTCATTTTCTCACAGATGCCATTTTCCAACAGTTTAATCATCTTTGAGAACCCCCCCAAACCTACTGGCAAGTTTTAAGGACCTTTTAGTTTCTAAGCTACCTTGTTCTGTAGTCAGGATCTCATAACTGCTGAAATCATCACACGTTTAGTGAACGTTGGAACACCTAAGGGTAAGAAAAATCATTTCTTAGATCAAAGACTCCTACATGTAAATCCTATATTAAAGAGTCTCCAGAGGCCACTTAAAAAGCAACTACTACTGTCTGCCTAGAACAGAAGCAACATGACTAACACTAGTTGTGCGGGATCAGCACAAAATGAACAGCACAAATATTTGAAGTAACAGCTGTGGATGGTTTTGTGGCTCTCAGATGGGACTATTCCCAATGATCAATCATTGAGATCTGTCAAATCATGCCCTCAACACATAATAAAAAAAAATTTCTATCTTTATAACATGGTTACACACACACATACACATACACATACACACACACACACACACACACACACACACACACACACACACACATACACTCTTCAACATTCAGTGAAGATTAATTATCTCCCAAAGTCTCACCCTGATCAGTTTGAAATACATTGACCTGAGCTTCAGGAAGACATAGTTGGAATGTGATTAATTTAAAAGAATAGCCTGGTCCAGCATTCACAAGATGTCAGGTACAAAAGTGTTCCATGAAGCATTCAAATAAGTATATAAACACTGCATACTATTTCCCTTCCTGAAGAGTCATGTTGCATATTAAAACATTAACATTTCTGGGAGTCTTGAAGTAAAGAAATCTGTTGTGTATTTTTTTCAATTCAACATTTCCAAAACTTTTGTGAACATGAATTTCTTTTGTTTATGGAACATCTATTAGCAGGCCTGGAACAGCTCAGGACCCAATTTAGCAACTGCTTTCCTAACCATTAATATTGGACATGTTCATAGGCCAATGTGTTTGTCATCTTTGGCCTAGAATATTTATGTGGCAACATAAATATTTTTCTGGCAACATTTTATATTTTCTAGATAGTCCTGATTTCAAATACTTTGTCTTGTTGTCCTCATTTTTACAACAATATTGATGAGATCATCTAATGTTTTACTCAGAAATTATGGCAGCCATAGGTATTTAAAAAGGAAATTAGACAGTAAGAATTTGTCAACTATTTACCTATCATTGTCCAAGAGCAAGTCACAGTTTCTAGTGGATACAATATTTTTTTAAAAAAATCATTTGACACAGAGATAATCTTATGGAATAGAACTACTTTGCCAGATTTTTAATAGCCTGAAGGAAAGATCACTTAAGATTATCCAATTATGGAAGTCATCAGTATGAACTCAGTTTTGTCATTTTAAAAAACATTTTTAAGCTCTGTCCACTAAAAATGCTTAGAAACAATGAAAATCTGTGTCAAAGTTCACCTGTGGTGCCAATAGGATAGTTCTAAATGCTATTTCCCAATAAAAGGACCCAGAAGTACTTAAATAAATAGATGACTTCAATATGTGGCAAGAAATGTCCAAGAAGAACATAGAATATCTTGCCACACCGAATAGCAAGGAAGCTAAAAACACTACTAGAGTTGAGTCAAAAAAACTTGGGAGCCAACTTGAAGAGACTGTCATCAGCCAAACATGGGGCAATTTGAACATTAGTAAAGATCATTACAATGAATTGAAATATATCAAATATGTTTAAATATACAAATTCATAAAAATACTTAAAAACATAATTGCTCAATTTGGCAAAACCTAAAAAACTAGCTCATTATTTGGAAACTGGTAAAGAGAATGGCTCAAGCATTTAACCTGATTTTTAAATACAAACTTTTCCTTGGCGTAATGAAGGAGTTGGTGAGGAAAGTGTTTTAAAAAGATTTCTGGCTAATAAATTATGAAGGTATGTTAAAATTATAATCTTTAATTAATTAATGGATCTAGGTAATAATCATTCATGTCTTTTAATATTACAAAAAGAGCATTAACTATATATCATATGCCTCTTGATGGAAAAACACAGCAGCAAGTAGAAAGTATTTTTTTTGGTCAAAAAATGCAATTTGAATCTGATCAAGGTCCTAGATATAACTATGAATATTTAGAAAAATACAAGGAAAAAGTTGTTAACATTGTAGGTATGTAAGCAACAACGTCCAGACTTAGGTTTAGCGTGCAGGGGTGTGTGTGTGTGTGTGTGTGTGTGTGTGTGTGTGTGTGTTGAGGGGGAGAAACTCTGCAGAAAAACAACATGGTTTCTTCAACAAATAAATTTTAAGAGATAATCCAAAAATGAAAGTTAAAAAGAATGCATTTACAATGATGTCAAAGAAAATGAAGTATTTAGAAGTAAAATTTTAAAAACAAGTGCAAAAGTACACTCTTAAAAACACAAAACAGGAGGTGGATCCAAGATGGCCGTTTAGGAACAGCTCAGGATTGCAGCTCCCAGTGAAAGCGCAGAGGGTGAGTGGACGCCGTGTTTTTATTGCCCACA